TGCTGCTGAGCATAGCTGGAGGAAATCATACCACTAATTATGTCAGTGCAACAAGTAGACAGTTTCCGTCCTGAGCTGTGTCACCCTGGGACAATCCTTTTTCTTTCTTTTGATCAGCTCTTGTGCCCATCTCCTTTTTCAATAATTCCAAGTCTTCTTTAAGCTTCATACCAAATTCCTGCCAGCAGATGATGACAGGGTCTGTTATTTTATAATTGAATTAAAGGCCACTGGCTGGAACTCTCCCTACTTCCTGTCACACCCTTCCTTCCTTTCAACCAAAGTCAAAGACAGAGGTACTCAGACTCTGCTCCCAAGGATCTTACATTCTAGAGGTAGCTAGACATGCAAATGTGGTTCTATGATAGAAATATATGAAAGTGCAGAGAAAATCCAGAATAAGAAGCACCTGAGATTTGTTGGGAGCCTAATGAAAGAAAATCACAGCTGAGGTTTCTGACCTGTGATTCATTCTCTCTCTTTCTATATCTCTTCGTTTTAAAAACACTGTCATCCTTTTAATCTCACTTACAAAAACTGTGGTATAATTTACATAACATAAAAATTACCGTTTGACCCATTTTAAGTGTACAGTTCATTGGCATCAATACATTCACATTGCTCTACCACCATCGCCACCATTCCTCTCCAGAACTTTTTTCCATCTTCCAAAACAAAAACTCTGTACTCGTTAAACAATAATGGCACTGACATCTTTTTATTCACCCAAGCCAGACACTCTGGGTGACATCCTAGATTCCTCTTTCTCTCTTAACCCCAAAATAAATCCAGCACTTGGCCTAGCTGATTTGCCTCCTAAACATCTCTTGTCTGTGCAGTTTCAGTAGCTTCCTAAGTGATGGCCCTGACAATCATTTTGTTCCTCTTCTCCCCGTTTGTCGAAGGACAAACGCTGGACTTCTGGATCATGCCCATCACTCTGTGCATTCTACCTCCCATCTCATCCTCACATACCCTGGAGAGGAGCCATTCACAAGTTCACATGCTATCTCGCATCTCTGTGCCTTTGCATACATACGTCTCCTAGCTTGAACTAAAGTTATTTTCTTCGCACATCTGAAACACTAATCATCCTTTAAGACCCAGGTTAAGCATCCCCTCTTCCCTGAAGCCTGCCTTGCTTCCTATCGTCACTTCTCTAATCCTTCAGATAATGCTAAACATTTCCTGGTGGGTGCTTTCCTTATATTTTTATTTTATTCCTTATCACAATATACTGTAATTATCTGTCTATTTCCCCTTGCCTGAACAGCAAGGACCATGTCTAATCTGTTACTATACAACGCTTGGCACCAAAGCTACCATGTACTGTTCAGGTCATGCCCTGAGTCAAACAGCAGTGGCTGAGATTTAGCCTATGCTTTATTTGCCAAGCTCTGCACCCAGGCATGGGGCTACACCTGCCCGGAGGAAGGGGTGCCTTCCTCTAAAGCTTACAAACCAGCCATATGGGGTAGTGGTGGCTCTGCCTGTCACATGGTAAGGGCTTGATTAATGTTGGTGTTCTTTCTCTTTATGCCCTTTTCCTTCCTCTGTCAGCCAACTCTACTACTCTTGGGAATGTGGCTGAATATCATTCTAGTCTTCAGACCCTTGTCTCCTCTGGTGACACGAAGGGCATGGAGGACTCAGGGGGCAACCACGGGAGGAGGGCTCCCCTTAGATCCTCTTTCATAGAGACTCTGGTCTGGTTCAGAGGTCGGGGTGGTGGTCTCTGCTAAAACTAAACACATTACATTAGAGCCTTTTTTAAAGGATTAAATAGCATTTTAGGTTTTAAAACCTATAGAACTCATGGGGCACTTCTCGTCACGGGATGCAAACACAAGCAGGGAGGCCACCTTCTTCTCTTTCCTTGACCATGGTAGACATTGCCAGTGAATTAGAATACTGTAGCAAGCTTGGGATGTCTTAGAATCCTCAGAAAAGTACTAATTGTTGGAACTGACATTTAAATAAAGCTTATTTCTCATCCTCAGGCTAACCCAACTCCTTATTTTATGAATGAGGTAAGGATCCCTGTCCTCCATGACCCTCATGCCTCAACTCTGTCCCTTCACCGCTGGTTAAACTTGGCCTGGGATAATTTCCATTTATTAGTTCATGAACACTCTTAAATGGCCCCTTTCTCAGACGTCCCATTCCTTAGAATCAAGCTCTAGACACCTTAATGCTAAGAATCATAGCATATTTAACTTCCAGAGTTGCTTCAATTTCTTCACACATTAGATGAAGAGTGGAGGTCCAGATATTGAAGAGAAGCGATTTGCCTGAGACCTCAGGGCAATGTATGTTTGAGCTGTGTTAAGTCCAAATATTTTAACTACCGGGCTCTGGCTCTTTCCTTTATACCTTTTTGTGGCTGATGTTTAATTTTTATTAATACTCGGTGCATGAAATCATACACTTTGAAATAAAAATCTCATACAGTACCTTTTCCAAACTTCCACAGAAGACAGCAGTTCCTTTCTCTACACTCCATTTTATGAGAGTGTATTAAAAGGAACATGTTAAAATCTACAGAGTTTAGGAAGTAGGTGATGGATGTAGTAGGGAAACACTGAATTTGGATCAGTTGCTGCTCATCCACTGCCTGATTCTGAGTTGGGCTCTGGGTGGGCACTCACTCACTTTGCTAGTACTTCATGAACCAAATCCCTGCCCTGGAATTAAATGATCACATTAACTGATCAGATGATTTAGGCTGTAGGTCCCCGCCCCCGCCCCCCCCATAAGTGACCATTTCCGTTCATCTTTAGGAAACACACAGTCATCCACAAGAAACAATAAGGGAATAGAGCAAGACCTGCAAGTTAAAGGGATTTCTTTTCCTCTCTCCTTTCTGATCTTCTAATTTGGTTGCTGCAAATAAAACAGATCGGAACAAAAACAGGCTTCCTAATTACATTTTATCCTAATCAGAAATGTAGTCAACTCATGGTTAGACTTCTGAAAACTATCTTAAAAATTTGATCCCATATGTAGATTGTGCTTATAAACAGTTGACTTGGCTAGTAGATAGGTGAGAGAATGGAATTAAGTAGGCTTAGAGAATTATCCTATAATGTTTCACATGAGAGAAAGATGTACTTTAGCCTCATTGGGCAACAAGTCAAACCCTTTATAAAATATTTGGTTTACTGAGGTGTCTTTGCTCTACTCCTCTCTCAAATGCATTCTTCTATTAAGTAAATCCTGAAGTATACCCAAATGAATGCATTGGCTGAGCTCATGAGACAAAACATTGGTATCCACAAACTGGGCACCTTATCAGTATCAGGGTAGGACTGGCCACTATTTGGAGAGCTTAAGGATTCAACTTCTTTCATTCTCTGGCATTCTTTGGCTTGTTCTATCATCCCCATTTTCTTGGTGAATTCCATCTTACCTGTCACCTTCTTTTTGAATTTCTCCCAGAGGTCCTGGGCTAGAGTTAAACACTCCCTCTTTTATGTCCTCACAGAACTTTTTACATAACACTAACATGTTATCTTTAAAATCTTTGATGTTCCTTTTTTGTTTATAGAACTTTCCTCCACTAGACTGAATTTATTGCCAGAGTCGATTGGCTTAGTCACCTTTGTAACTCCAGCATACAGCAAAGTGCCTGGTATAAGTAAGCACTGAATAAATAATGGTTGAATAATGCATGAATGAATAAGTGAGTGAAAGAGTAATCTGATACAAATGGCCTTTCAATTCTCTTTCATCTATCTGTTCTATGATCATGTTTATTAAGTATTACCGATACTCAGCACTAAGATCTGTGCAGTAAGGAAAGAGTAAGGAGGGAGGTAAGCTCATCCTAAAAACATCCTAGGATGTTTTTGTTCCCCCTTGGAGACCACATGACTGTATAACATCCCTTCTTTTTTTTTTTTTTAAAGGAAATGTGGTCACTGACTGCACAGGTATGCTAAGTCCTCATTCAGGTGAGTGAACTCTAGGTAGGCGGAGTTAAGAACATTTGGGAAACTGGATAAAGCATGATAAGAAAGCAGCTCTGCTTTTATCACTTAATATCAGTCTCTCTCTCTATATATATATTTCTCTCTGTTAGAGAAATATATATTTTCTCTCTGTTAGAGAAATACAGAAGAACACTGATTTATCCAAAATATTGGCATACTTTTTTACCCCCCTGAATATTTGTTCTACTCCATTGAGTAAAATATTTGAAGCCAGGACAGCTCAAGATCAAGTTTACTTATTTGTTTGCTTATTTTAGATGTTGGCTAATGTAAAAGGAGGGTGTGACTGATGAAAATCTCTGGGCTCTCCAGGGGAAAATAAAACTGCATAGATTGAAAAAGCAGTTAAACAGCCCATTAACAAAGAACTCCTTCTGGGTTTAAATACAAAAATACTCTTATTCTTGGACTCTTTCTTTTGCTCTTCTGGACCAGAAGATCAAGGTCAAATGAAGTCAAGGGAGCAAGATTTCCATGCTAAACTTAACATGTCTCTTCCCTGGGAGGGGTAGGGTGGAGAGTGAGGTGTAATAAGCTCTAACAGAAATTACGCACCTGGGGTCAGCCTTGAGGCCCTCTTTGGAGTCCCTCAAGCCTTTCTTTTCTTGTGGTTTCCCCACCATAAAAAAGGTATCTCTGATGGTAGGGAAGTCTTCCAGCAGGGCTCTCAGGCTATTGCAGTATGCCAAGATCTGACCCCGAAGAGCATAGTGAGACATATGGTGGTTGAACCTGAAAAGTCGGAAGAGATCATGTCCAGGAGATGAATCTAAGTTGTTCCATCTCTCACAGAAGTTCCGGGATCTACTTCCCTGGAAGACTTTTTGAAGAGAATAGAGGATCTCTGTCAAGAAGAAATTTTTGTTTGGGCCAGGTTGCTATTACCTGAAGGCAGAGGCGTGGAACTCTTCAAAGCATCTTCTAGCCTTCACTTCTGATTCTTCTTTCTCTGTGTCTTACCCCATAAGACTGTGGCTTATATAAAAACAAACCACCCAATTCATTGTCTGGATTTCTACATAATACTGCTGTTTATTGAACTCAGAGTCAGAGAAATCAGCATGTGTAGTTCACATATACTATACTTACTTCTGACAATATTCAACTATAACATCTCTCTTGACTTTCTCAATTTCGTCCTGTAATAAAAGATGATAGTTCTTTCATTAGACAGTATTACTCGACTGTGACAAAACTCTACTGTATGCATCTAGGCTCCTCCATGTTGGCCCCTTGGGACTAAGGAGACCAAAGGAACTGACACGAATGTAGAGTTCATGTTGCCTACTCTGTTGTGAGTAGTAAGTTCTTTGTCTCTGACCTAAGAGTCTTGTGTCTTCTGCCAACATCCACAGAATAGTCACAGGCTAACTTACTGGCTTGTTAAGTAGGCTAAAATCTCAGACCTTAACAAAACTGACAATTATATTGCCTGAGCCTTTTATAATATGACAGGCATTGGATACTCCTGAAGAACAGTTAATGAACTATTACATTTTTCACTTATTCAATATTTGTTGAATATCATAATAAAAAAAGTAATTTAATAATCAATTACTTATTAAAAGGAGTATTTTGTCTCCATTATTGCTCAGCAGTAATCCAGAGGTCTGGCCTCCCTCATATCCCATTTATAGAACTGAATTAGGTAAATTTAAGTCTTTCTTTTTCAGTCACATGTAAAGAAAAAGCCTAGAAATTGTAAACTTATCACTTCTCTCCTAAATATTGATGCACTAGCCTAATGACTTCCACATCAAAAAATTAATGACTAATCAAATGACAGTTACAAAATTAAGCAATACTTTTGACTGTTTAAACACTTGAGTTTAATAATATTTTTCAACAGATTAGGCTAGTATAAAACCCTTAAATAGAAATGTGGCAGTAGTGTCTGAAATCAAGGTAGCAGGTAAATTAGATGGTCATTCAGGAGTGGTCAAATAATCCACAGCAAGTGCTAAAGCTAATTCCATTTAGAAAGTGACAAAACAAAATCTGACCTTGAAAAAATGTTTAAAACTAAACAGCAATTAGCTTGAACTGCTTCCTTTTTATTTTGTATTGAACTCCCTTTTTCAGTTTTTTAAAAAATATATTTTTCAATGGTTCTATCCAAATAGGCTGAAAACAATAGATTCCAAGTTAAATTTTTTTTTTTTTTTTTACGCTCAAATGTAAAAGATGACATGAGATCTTTAGGGGACCCTTCTTACAGTACTCACAAGGCTCTTCATTCTGTCAGCCATGGTCTGTTTCCTGAAGAGGAAGGCATTCAGCATCATGTCCCGCAGTCCTACCTTTTCTAGCTGAATAGACACAAAAGCCTCCGGAGCCCTGACAAGTGAACAGAGAGACATCTGAGCCCAAGGCAAGTGGGTACATAATAAGAAATCATCTCTACAGCTCTCTGGAGGACAAGAACACCTGAAGCCACGTATTGGGCATTGCGGCAGGAGAGCAGGTGGCTCTGTCTCCATGGTTCTCATCTCCTTCAAATGTTTCTGATTATATTCATGGGGATGCTGATGTGTCACCATCCTCCTTGGGGACTCCCATGTGCCTAAGGCATGCATCAGCAGTTCTAAACTTCATAGTCTGACCCAGTGTTTTGTACTATCCAGGTCCCTTTATGCTCTCCTGGCCTGAGCTATAGGGGTTCCTGGACTAAAGTGGCCTCCCAAGGGTCCACTCGACTAGACACATTGATCTCAATCTGCCCGCTGTCCCACACTCTGGTAATGTGGATTTAGGGCTCTTGAACTCTGGCCACATTTCAGATTAACGGTATCTTGAGTAGTAGAGTAGCTATGCCTATTATTATTTTTTTTTATTCTAAATTTGCCAGAATTAAATTAGTGTGTCATTGGTAACCCCCAATAAAATATTCAGAGTATTCATAATTATTGCAGAATACAAATATCTCTCTTTCTCTGTCATGGTTAGAAAAGATCAAGACATAACAGGGCATCCCTGATTTATAGACATACCTTTTTAGAGGCTGTGTCTAATACACCATCCTATTATTCTAAGCGATGGCAAAACCCTTGTTAGAATATAATGAGGATAGTTCTGTGCTTTTCTGTTTAAGGTAAACATGGGGAATTTGGAGAGGCCCAAATTCTTCTTTCTTGTGTTGTACCATCTTTGGAGTTTGGAATATATAGAGAAAGGGAGGAGAGAGGGGATGAAGGGGGAAAAAAGAAAAAGGAGGAGAGGCAAAAAACAAAGGAAAGGAAGTTGAAATTGGGAACTGTTGACACTCCTTCATAGACTGGAGTATTTCGAAAGGAGTTAAGATTACTCAGTGTGCATTCAAGGTCTTCATACAAAGTCTTCCAAATTAAACACATGCTGGTAACTCTGGGAGTTTAGGCATCCTTCAGTCCTATAATGCTCTGCTATTAACTAACTTAAAAGGGGACACTTTTGTTACTTTAACCATCCCCACCCCCCACCCCACCTCCCTGGTGCAATACCTTTTGTGAGCCTGGAATCTTTCTGAATGATGAGTAAGAGTGTCAGAGACTTTTGGAGTCGGGGCTAACAGCAAGCTTTCTATGCCATTCACAATTCTGGAATTTCTTCTTCTGGTTGGACCCATTCCACCGAGATTTCTCAGATCTGAACATATTTCCTAAAATATTTCAAACCAAAGTGAATGAAATGTGTTGGATTTGTAAGCCCTGTAAAATTATCTAACAGCCACAATTAACCCAAAACACATGAAAATGACTGGACACATGGAGAGGGGAGTGAGAGTGGGGAGGGAAGATGTGGGGAGAGTACAGAGAGTAAGGGAGAAAAGGGAAGAGAGATATCATTTTGCACAATGAAGGGGTGAGGCACTAAGTATAACTATTTCCAGAATAGAGTGCAATTGTCTAAAGTGCTCTGAAAAAACTCTCCATTCTACAAGGTGGCCAGTTGGAATGCTCTTGTAGAATGGCCTCTCAAGAAATACTGCTGGGGAACTTCATGGTTGCAAGATCTGAAAATTTGTTTCAGAGTGCCCATTCTGGTGTAGCCTAATCAGATGGAGGTGGGCTGTATATGCCGCCTAGCATAAAGTAATGATGAAGGAGGGAGAGGTGGAGGGAAGGTAGGGGAGAGGAGAAGGAGGATGGAGAAGAGGAAAAGGGAAATCTATATTTTCCAATATTCTTATTCGTTATATAGTTACAGGCCATAATGGTTGGAATTCTTTTACGTTTTTCTAAAATACTAACTAAAAGAAAAATATTAAGGCTTAAAAAAAAAACAACCATCCTTTTCCAAAGAAAGAAATAGTTCTCCATATCTGAATTACTGGAGAATGAGGCAAAAGAAAAAAATCCTAGGTAAAAAGCCTAAAGTTTCTATCCTGACTTTTTCTGAAGATGCTGGTACTATCCCAGTCTCCTGGAAATAGTAAAGTATACCAGTTCAGAGGATTCGAGAGATCTTAGAAAGGCTGTGAGTTAAGAGGGAAGGATACACAAGCTCTGTAATTGAATCCCAGTGCTGACACTCAGCTGGTGATCTTGGCTCTGTTCCTTAATTTTTTTTCCTCACCTAGGGATGATGTTCCCCATCTCATGAGCCTGTGTATAACCAAGAGCCCATGTATAACTATTACTTAGCTGACTGCCTTGCCTGGACCATAGAAGCTGCTGAATTGGATTGTTACCTGCCTGACTCCGTCACCTGCCTTCAACATACTACCCATGCTCATCTTTCATTTCTATCCTCAATTGCTTTCTCTTTTCCAGCCCCTTCCTACAAATATGTTGACATCTATTTTATTCTTAATTTTCCTACCCCCTCGAGCCTCCTCCTCAATTCTGACCAAACTTTTTAAAGAACTATTATGGACTAAATGTTTGTGTTTCCCTCCTAATTTTTTATGTCGAAGCCCTACCCTCCAGCATGATGGTATTTGGAAATGGGGCCTTTGGGAGGTAATTACGGTCTGATAAGGTCATAAGGGAGGGCCCCCAATCTGAAAGAGCTGGTGTCCTTATAAAAGAGGAAGAGACAGAACACAGAACTTTCTTTCTCTCTGCCATGTGAAGACACAGTGAGAATGCAGCCATTCTGAAGCAAGGGAGAAAGCTCTCACCAGAAACTGACCACGCAGACTGACCATGAGCAACTTGATCTTGGAGTTCTAGCCTCCAGAACTATCAGAAAATAAATTGCTGTTGTTTAAGTCACCCAGTCTATGGTACTTTATTATAGCAGCCCGAGCAGACTGACGTAGGAGCAGTAAATATGCACTCCTTCTCTATTTCTATTACCTCTCACTTCTTAACTCTTGCAGTCTGTCTTTCACTCCAACCCCATTAGAACTGCTCTTTCAGAGTCAGCAGTGAACTTTTGAGAATGTCAAGCAGCCTCATTTTAATTCCTACTCTTCTAGCTCTTCCCTCCACATTTAACTCTATCAGCTTTCAACTTCTTATTCTTCCTTCTTCTTCTTTTAAAAATAATAGCTTTATTGCGATACAATTGACTTTCAATTAATAGTACATATTTAAAGTGTACAATTATATAAGTTTTGGTATATGTATAAAACTATAAAATTATCAGTGCAATAAAAATAATAACCATAGCCATCCCTTTCACTCAGTCCCTTTCTCAAGCAACCACTGCTCTGCTTTCTGTAATTATAGATTAAAAATGCATTTTCTGGAATTTTATATAAATGGAGTCATGCAGTATTTACTTTTTATTTTTCTCTTTTGGTTTGGCCTCATTCATATTGTTGTATATATCAATAGTTTATATCTTTGTATTGTTGAGTGGTATTCTATTGCATGAACATACCACAATTTGTTTATCCATTCATCTTGTGATAGATATTTGGGTTCTTTCCAATTCCTGGCTATTTTAAATAAAGCTGCTATGAACTTTCGTGTATGTCTTTGTCTGGACATGTGCTTTCATTTCTCTTGGGTAAATACATAGGAGTAGAATGGCTGACTCATATGGTAAGTGTATATTTAACTTTTGAGGAAACTGCCAAGCTGTTTTCCAAGGTGACTATTTTGCATTCCCACCAGTGGTGTATGAGAGTTCCAGATCCTCCACATCCTTGCCAACACGCCAAAAGGAATGGTCAGCCTTTTAAATTTTAACCAAATGGGTGTGCAGTGGTTTCTCACTGAAGTTTTAATTTGCATTTCTCTAATGACTAGTGGTGTTGAACACCCTTTTATGTACTTATTTGTCATCTGTACATCTTCTTAAATGACTCATTACATCTTGAAACACTCCCCTCCTTTGGCTTTGGTAGCAGTGCACGGTTTCGTTCTCTGTCTCTGTCTCTTTCCTTCCTTCTTCCCTTCTTCTTGTTCCCTTTCACTGTCTCCATTATTTATTCCTCTTTATTATGTTATCAGCCCTTTTCCTGCTCCATACTTGTAGAAAAGCATACATACATATTCACACATACACACACACACATACACACACACACACTTTTTTTTTTTCCCCTCGTACCTCCCTACCCCTCCCAGCATTGCAGGTCTTTTCAGGCTATTATTCCTGATGCCTTCCCACACCTGCCCTGTGTTCCTGTCCAGTGACTTTCGACATTTTCTCTCTGGATGGCTGGCTCTCAGGGAGTGACTCATAAGCCTCTCAATCTCCATTTCAACCAGACTATCCCAACTTATATCTGTTTATGAGTATTCTTCGTAAGATGAAATTATTTGAATAAAGCAATCTATATGTCAACTATGTATGAAAATGACAAATGGTGGTCAAGCTAGGCTCATCTTTTTTCTAGTCTCCATTTGCCCTTGCTCGCTCCCATGCCTGAGTATCTGCAGGATCTTTTCTTTACTCAGAATGATCACATGGTCATCTCTGCCTGCCAAAAAGCTCATTCTTCAGATTTTTCCAAATGCCCCCTTTCTCTTCTTTAATTTCTTTTATAGCTTGTTGAACCTCTTTTATGCCTTGTAGTTGAACTACTTATTGGCTTGTCCCCCTTACCCACACTGGCCTATAAGTTCCTCAGGAGCATGAATTGTATCTCAGTATTACCTGATGAGCCCAACTTATAGTAAGTTCTAAATTAAGAATTTTGAGGTTGAATTTAAAAAATATATAACTCGCTCTATCCTTATTTTCTACTTCATTCAGTATCTGACTTCTATGGGAATTAGTATTTGGCAATAGAGGTGGAGATTGAATATTCTTGTCATACTCATAAATTTTTACTCTCCTATTAACTTTGAGAGTAGAAATAGACAAATAGAGGTAGATAAAAATGATAAGGGGTAAATGTGGTGAGCTGTATAGAATCCATAAGGCTTAAAAAAATATTTAATTTTATACTTAAGTTACATTCACCAGTACATACATACAAGAGAGAACTGTATATTTGTTAAAACTATGGGGGGAAATGTCTGTGAACTCATTTGGAGTGATTTCCAGGATATACTGTTAAGCAAAGAAAATAAAGTGCAAAAAAGATAAAATCTAAACCGCTTCATGATAAATTATTCAACAAACTAGGAATAGGAAGGAATGTCCTTAACTTGGTAAAAGGCATCTGTAAAAAACCTGCAGTAATCATCATACTTAACAGTGAAAAATGGAAAGCTTTCTCCCTAAGATCAGGAATAAGACAATAATACCCACTCTTACCATTTCTATTCATCTTGGTACTGGAGAGTCTAGTTAGGGCAATTAGGTAAGAAAAAAAGATATCTAGATTGGAAAGGAATTAATTAGTAAAATTATCTCTATTTGCAGATGACATGATCTTACATACAGAACATCTTAAAAAATATATACACATAAACACAAGTAAACTATTAGAACTAATAAATGAAGTTAATAAGGTTGCAGGATATGAGATTAATATACAAAAATTAATAGTATTTCTATAGACTAGTAATGAACACTCTGAAATGAAATTAAGAAAACAATTCCATTTATAATAATATCAAAAAGAATAAAATACTTTTGAATTAATTTAACAGAAGTAGCACAGGACTTATACATGGAAAACTATAAAATACTGTTAAAAGAAATTAAAGAAGAACTAAATAAATAAAAAGACATTCCATGTTCATGGATCAGAAAATTTAATATTGTCGAAATGGCAACAGTACACAAACTGATCTACAGATTCAATGCAATCCTTGTCAAAACCCTAAATGGCATTTTTTTTTTTTTGGTGGGGGGAGGATTGACAAGCTGACCCTAAAATTTATATGAAAATGCAAGAGACCCAAAATAGCTAAAGCAATCTTGCAAAAGAAGAACAAACTTGGGGGGACTCACACTTCTTAGTTTCAAAACTTATCACAACTCTATAGTAATTAAAGCATAGTGGTAATGGCATAAAAATAGACATATAGACCAATGGAATAAAACTGAGAGTCCAGAAATACACTCTTACATTTATGGTCAACTGATTTTTGACAAAGGTGCCAGGACAATTCAATGGGGAAAGATGAGTCTTTTCAACAAGTGGTGCTGAGACAGCTGGATAACCACATGTAAAAAAATGAAGTTGGACCCCTACCTCACACTACATACAAAAATCAACCATAAATGAACCATAGACCTAAATCAAGAGGTAAAACTGCAAAAATCTTAGAAGAAAACATAGGGGTAAACCTTCATGACTTTGGATTAGGCAACGATTTCTTAAATATGATAGCAAAAGAACAAGTGACCAACTGACAAAAGAAAAAATAGGTAAATCAAACTCATCAAAATGAAAAACATCTGCTTCAAAGGACGCTATCAAGAAAGTGAGAAGATGACTTTCAGAATGAGAGAAAATATTTGCAAATCATATACTTGATAAAAGACTTGTATTCAGAATATATAAAGAACTCTTACAATTTAGTAATGAAAAGACAAAAAATCCAAAATTATAAAAGGGCAAAGAATTTAAATATTTTTCTGACAAAGACATGCAAATGGCCAATAGGCACACAAAAAGATGCTCGACATCATTAGTAATTAGAGAAATGTAAATTAAAACTGGAATGAGATACCATTTTACTTGCACTGGGATGGCCAAAATAAAAAAGACAATAGCAAGTGTTGACAAAACTCAAAACATATGTCCTTACAAAAATCTGTACATAAATGTTCATAGCAACATTATTCAAAATAGCCAAAAAGCAAAACCAACCCAATATCTGTCAAACTGATGATTGGATAAACAAAATGTCATATATGCATATAATATAATATTGTTCATCTGTAAAAGGGAATGGGTATTAATACATACTACAATATGGATAAAACTTGAAAACATTATGTTAAATAAAAAAAATCTAGACATAAAAGTTCATATGTTGTATGATTCCATTTATATAAAATTCCAGAACAGGCAAATATATAGAAACACAAAGTAGATTACTGGTTACTAGGAGCTGAAAGAAGTGGGGAATGAGAGTGACTACAGATGGATATAGGATTTCTTTTGAGAGCAATGAAAGTGTTCTGAAATCAGATAGTGGTGATGGTTGCATGATCCTTACACACTATAAAATGGTGAATTTTATGTTCTATGAATTATATTTTAATAACAACCCCCCTAAAAAAATCCAGGAAAGAGAAAGAGTCTATATTATATGTTACTTTTTGTGGAAAAAAGAAGGGACAAATACATCTGCTGACTTTTGCAAAAAGAAATACAGGAAGGATAAAATGTAAAACAATGGAATCATTCGTCTCCAAAGGGTAGGGATAGAGGAACAGCTTATTTTCTGCCAGATGATCCTAGCTAGTCGATATTATAGAGTTATATGTAAAGAAAAAATTATTAGCAAATTACTGAAAATTAAAAGACCCAGTGAAGATTTGGGCATGTGTCGATTCATATTAAGAAAGAAGGAAGAAAGGGAAAG